TGGCCAGCCAGTTTAATGTTACAAGTGGCACCAGCTGACTGGGTCACACATTTTTACCTGTGGACGGCCAGCCTCCAGCAGGAGAACATCCTTTCATATTTTATTTATAGAAAGGGCTAATTTGCCTTGCAGAAAACCTCAGCATAGAGCTTTCACACGATATAAAATGGTGAGATAGTATAGATAGTCCTCCAAATCAGGAGAACAGACAGGGCATATTCACAGATAACAAATGGAGTTGCATTCTTGCTTATCACACACACCTTGTACCTTTGCATTTGCCGCTTTGAATAAATTGCATATTGCACACAACTTTATGCAAATCCCTAGCAGGAATCACCCTAAGCACTTTTCAAATCCTGCCAGTGTTGCCGGCTCAGGATTGCCTTGTTTCACTAAAGGATACTAGAAAGAAGAGGAGACTTTTCCTGCCAGCAAAATTAATGCATCCCATCAGATGGTGTAAAGAACAGGAGAAGACTCTCAAAATTTTGAACCCTTTCGCCCAGGTGAATATGGCGATGGACAGGACCATGCTAAGGTACGTGTCTCCCTCCCTTACCTCTCCATGGTGGATGAAGCTGTCTATTGCAAGTTGTGACAGGTTTTGTAAAAAAAGAATTTTGTTATCCTTCTGCACTAATTGCTTCTTTGGCATTCTCCTGTCCACTTCTTTTTATTATCCAACAAAAAGATCATAAACCTATAGCGTGTTTTAGACTCATGAATGCCTGAAGGCAGAGCAATTTCCATAGGCCCTGGTGAGCCCAGATGGCCCAGCACGAACGCACACTGGCAACGGACCTTGGTTTAAAAGACTCCATGTTCATATGTCAAGTATGAGCCGGGGAAAGTCAGGAATTCAGATGAAAGCCTCATTCCCTTATCTTGGCAAATCTGGGCCTCACTTCAATTAAACCTTAAATGAAGACTCCCACTTAAATAGTTCAAATGTTTTGAAATAGACAGGAGATGTGAGCTGGAGACTGAGGCTAAAGTACAGACTGTATTTATAATCCAACACACGGCTCTTTATATAATTCCAGCCTGATGCACTTTTTATTTTTGGTTCTTGAATAAAGTCACTCAGATGAAATTGAACAGTGTGCAGGAGAAGGTGCTTGATGCTTTTTTCCGTTTCTATGGCAACCCTGAGGCATCTTCTTCAGCTGCCTCGTTGACTGAGTGACCCAGTGACAAGGCTGCTACTTGGAGCTGAATCCTGGAGAGGCCAGGAGTTGCTGATCTTATGGCCACCGAGGACAGAGGGAAACCTCTGACATGTTGATGTGGTTTTCCCTCGCTTCTGTATGAATGGTTGCCACCGGAGAGTATGTTTGCCAAGAGCGTGTTGCTAGGGATGTGTACACACTTGCCTTTGATATTTCTCTGTTGGTAAATAATCTGTTTTTATGGGTCTGTGTCTTAGCACCTAATGCAGCTATTTATATAATCTAAAGGAAGTTCCTGAATGCTCTTTAGATGAAACACCCTCTTTGCCTGCAGGATCGATTAAAGAGTTGCTTCACTGGGGACTTTATCTATAGAAGGATAATAGCAAAAATTTGAAAACCAAAAGCTCAAGGAAACCATACAGCCTGAGACTGGATTCATTTGCTTGTCACGTGTAATGAATAATTGCACAGAAGGGGATCTCTCCAAAGAAGTGAAGATAGTTGGTTCGCAGGAGTGAGCCCACATCCCTGCCCTTTTCCCTCTCGGTCTGGACTGGGGAGGTGTGGAGGCAAAGATGATTCCACAGATGAATCTGAGCAGAGCCTGGGGTTAGATGGTCATTTAGCAGGCGGAAATAAAAGAACAGCCTCCATGGGAGCAAAGTTTTTACAAAAGCAACTTCAATGATTCCCAGTAAGATGTTACAAAAAAGTATTTAAATCCATGGTCGCATCCCAGAAAAATACTGAATCAAGTGAAGTTTTCTAAACATGGATGCAAGACCTGATCTTTGCACAGTGCCTACCACATCATAAATACTCAATAACTGACCACTATTGTTGATACAGAGGTTTTTTTATATCTAAAATGCAACTACTTTTCTCAGTTGTAAAATGAATATACAGCTGTACCACCCATTTTGCAAACCATCATCTATTGAAGACAAAGTCCATATAGAAGATCTTGAGTAACCATATAACAATTTCTCCATAAATTTTTGGTCAAATGGAATAGAATTTTCTAGAAGTCAAACCCCTGAACAGTGTCAACCTCTCAAAATATAATCTCAAACCTAAAATAAAAAAAGTTCTCTGAAAATGCCTGAAAACAGTCACCCTAAAACCACTACATTCAAGTCAGGTCTCTTGTGTCTCACCTGTACTTTTCCTGCCTGGCATTCTGATATTAGTCATATTATCCTTATAATGAATTATTTGATTTCCTCAACACAGCAGATCAAAATCAAAACCCCAAACGGTGCAAGATTTCTGGCAGTGGACAAAACAGCAGCTGTTGGTGTTTTGAGTAACATTTTCAAAGCACATCTCACCAGAAGAGCTGCACCTATTAGCCTGTGTCACACACACAAGGAAACATTAAATGATATATATCATTTTTTGAAGAAAGCAGAGAACTGTAAAAGACCATTCCTCCAAAACAATGCATACCCTTGAGGCACCATGTTTCAGTTATTTGGAGAGATCCACTTAAGTGTAATTATTCATAATTATTCTTACTAGTTCATAACACTCCTAGGCTGAATATGGCTCACCTTTCTAAAGCCTCCCCTTCCACATTCTTCTTACCTGCTCTTCTCCCCGCTTCCCCCAACCACTCCACTTCTCTAGCTTCCAAAGCAGAAGACTGACTCATCCTAGTATGCCCAGAACTTTCCTAGCTCCAGCACTGCCAAGTCCTGCATCCGAGGACATCCCTCTGTCCCAGGCAAGCCTGGTCACCCTATTCCAGAACCAGCTTTCCTGTACTCATGCCTTACAGGGATTACCCTACAATTATGTAATTTTTTTTTTCAAAAAAGTCATTATAACAACCCTCATACAGTGGCTAGGATCAGCAGGTCTCTAGGATTCTTGATCTGAACTATTTTGAAAAAATTAAAAAGGCTCTGGGGACTTGACAATGTCCATCATGGACCTGGTTCTGTGCTTCACTTGAAATGCATAGAGTTAGCCTTCGTTCATTTATGTGCTTACTTAAACCTAGAAAAGTGCATCTGACTGATTCCATCAGTGTTGCCAGCTCTAAAATAGAAATTTCTAGAGGGAAATTTGTTGTCTTCCTTGCGAATGCAGTCTGGGGACCTGTTGCCTTGAGAAGGCCAGAGTTTGGAGGACTTAATTGGGCAGTCCCTGAAAAGAAAGCCTACACAGAAGGGCTCTGAAATGCACCCCTGCCTTTTCTTTTTGTAAATATGTTTAATAAAAATGTCTAAAAAGTTGAGGTGAGGAGGCCCAGGTAGCATTCCACCTCCTGCCTGCAGTTACCATTCTATACCTTGCATAATGGGACCAGTCACCCAGAAGATCACATTACACATCTGGCTCCCTAGGGTAGGAAGAAGGCAGATGTCTATGAGATGGTAGGGTGCCTGCAGTTTGGTCTGTAACAGAATCTTGTGGTTTGCCTGGAAACAGGAGGAAGGAATTCCTAGCTACCTGAAATAGATCTGAAGTTTGAAATGTACCTGAATCCCAAAACTGGTGCTTAAAATTTGTAATTAGTTAATATTTTGCAAGTTTTTCCCCCTGTTCAAGAACTAGACGAGGAATGGTGGAGCAGGTCGTGAATGAGTGGGAGTTCTGCACTAATATGTCTTGTGCAGAGAAAAAAAAGAACGTATTTTTATCAGCAAAGAAAATAAAACATGAGAAGCACAAAGGCCTTCAATGCAATGAACCCTTTACCAAGAATTTCTCCAAAGGGAAGGCATAGAGTAATACTAAAAAGCACAGCCCAGCACTGAATGACTTCAGTTTAAATGTCAGTTCTACTACCTATTAGCTGTGTGTGTTTGCAAAAAGTGCTCAACCTCTCTGGGCCTGTTTCTTCATTTCTTAAATGGGGATAATAATAGTGCCTAGCCCATAGAATTGCTGCTAAGAATGAATTATTACTTATAAAGAACCTAGAATCACATTTGAAACATAGTGAGTGCCATATGAGGATTTGTTAAAGAAGAAGTATGACAGCATAAACCCTACTTTAGAATGCAGATTTTTCTCAGGGTTTCCAGTCATGAAAAACAGCTAAGTTATTCCAAATCTGCTGGAGGAAGTGGCATTTTCTCTGAAACCACATATCCTTGGTAACGTTGTGCCTTGAGACAGTATATAGCTTAGTGAATTAAAGGCAGATAAAACCTGAATTTGAATATCAACTCAGTTTCATCTACACAGAGGTCAACAAATTACAGGCCATGGCCAAATCTGGCCCACCACCTGTAGTTTTAAGTAAAGTTTTATTGTAACACAACCACACCATTTGTTTCCCTCTCATCTGTAATTGCCCTGGCATTCAAGGGCAGAGTTACAGAGTTGAAACAAAGACTTTCATTCTGCAAAGCCAAAAATATATACTATCTGGTCCTTTATGAAGCCCATTTGCTAACTGTTGACCAATGCCTAATAGGAGAAGAAACTGTTTTGTTTTTTGGGGGAATGAGCTAATATACAAGTCAGGACCCTACACATAGTCTACATTCCAAAGAGAGTAATTAATATCATGAAACAGAGAATCAAAATCTAAACCTTATACATATTTTTTGTTAGTATTGTTTTTTGCTTGGTTTTGGGTCTTTTCTACCCTCTCTCTACCTAGGCCATTCTGTCCAAAAACAAAACATGAGCTTGACTTCCTCTAACTTGGATTAAACTAATCTGCCACCTGCCTCTTCAGGCAATTTCTATGGCTCTATTCATCCACTACCAGGGTTTATGTCCTATTGTTTGGGAACATTTGCTTTATATCTCAACAATTCTATGGTAATCGTACAGGAAGCCCAAAGATTCTTGCACTGATTTGTTTTCAACTTTTTATTTTTTATTTAGAAATAATAAAATAAGACATAATATATAAAAATATGTACAATCCATGATTTGTGCAGTACAATAGGAAGACTTTAAGATACAAAAAGACGGCAAACGGGAAAAATAATAACTATCACGATTGTCCAAGGCCAGGATTGTTCAACTCACCGGAACCCAGAGCTGAAATCCAACATAACTAGAAAAGAGATCCTATTGGGGGAGGAAGGTGATTGCCCAACACTTTTTTTTCACCTTAACATTACTAGACAGAGTGAAAAAGAACTCACTCTACTTCTCAGAACAAGCCTTTCGCCTTTACTCAGTGGCATATTATAAAACACAAACTGTCATTTGTTATCTGCAAGGGTAATGTGATTTGGGGGACAGAGTTCATCGAAGAAACATCAGGGTGTGAGACGCGAGTTTATAGGGCGAAAAGGAGTACAGGGAAGAAATAATTGCGTTAGTAAAATAAAGTAAAAAAAAGGGAAAACAAACTTTCTCTAGGAATTTGGAAATGACTACAGTGCTATAACGACATCCTTAAAATGTCTGATTCAAGTATACTCTTAGAGGGATAGAAAACTATTCACTTCTCAATAATCAAAATAGAATTCACTTTGTCTGCCTTTTATTTAAAAATAGGATAACCAGAACTCTATGCCTTCTCCTCAAAAATATAATGCCCTTCCAGAGATGGGCAAAAACTCTTTAAAAGGGAATCATTTCTAAATAAATTCAAAGGGGATTAGCTTGCAATAGAAAAGCAACACGTACCCCGGAACAGACCCCAGATATTCACGGTGAGTCTCTTGAATCTTCACTCCAATGACGTATGGGCACTAATTAAGGAGACCCAGTCATTAAGGACAAAGGTTTTGAAGGTAAAATGCAACAAAAAAATGTTGTGCATTTACGTGTGTCTTGGCTCTTGACAAAAAAAAAGGAAAGAAAGAAAGAAAATTGCCATTTAACGCTTGTAACTGTTAAAATACTAGTAACTAGAAAAAAGCTTTCAAATGAACAGTCCATGCTGAAATAAATAACAGAGGAACATAGCAGTACGAACCTTATAAGGCTGGTAAATATTTGCTAAAACCATGCTAACCGGTAGCATCTAGGTACTAGCTCTCAGAAATGGCTGCACTGAAATTACACTTTCTATGGCGATGTGTTTATCCTTTACAGACGTCTATTTACATTTGGCTTTAAATATGAAAATATCTGATAAACTTTATAAAATGTACACTTTAAAAACATAGCTTCTGCAAAATTTTCTTGAAAAAAAAAACACAAAACAAACCTGTGCACCAGAAATGTTAGATTTTTTTTCTCTTTTTTCACAAAGGAGTTAAAAGAATTCTCTCCCTCCTTTTACCCATTTCCCCACCCCCTGTCAAAGAGCTCAAGTCTTTTTGAGTGGCAGCACTTGTGTTCGGGGTGAGGGAGAACCTTCTTTGTGGTCACCCCCCTTCTGCACTGTATCTTCATTTAATTTATATATCACTGAATACTCTTTGGTTTGATTATTTTCCTTTGCAAAATATCATAATAGCAGCAGCTGAAGCCCTCGATACCCTCTCCCTGTCAACGGCCAAATTGTTACCTCTTCTGTCAGTTCCCTTGTCTCCTCAATCCCAGTTCCTCCAACGCTAAGCAACTTCCCAACCCTGCCTTTAAATGTGGATTTAAAATAGCATCCATCTTGACATCTCACCTTGGTTACAGTGAAAGCAATGCCACAGTTTCAAACCCACCAACTTTGAAGGCTGAGAACAGCAGAAACTGTCATCTTATTGCAGGCACTGCATTCAGATATGGCTGCTGAAGAACCAGAGACCATCACGAACACCAGTTTACGAAATACAGGATGCTAGAACAAGCTGTTTTTTAATGGCATACAGGGAAATAATACCATACGAGAGTTGATTTTGAGATTCCAATGAGAAAGGAAAAGTCAGCAATCCCAGAATTCACAGATAAGAACCTTCAAACCAAAAAAAAAGAGTTCCATTAGTGAACTAGGACAGAAAATACAAAAAAAAAAAAAAGCATGTTTCTAGCAAGGCAGGCAGCCAGGCAGGAGGAGAGATTTCTAGAAAGTAATGTGTCTTGAGCGATCTGCTCTCGGGCTCCGTAGGTGACAGGATCAGCTCAGATTCAATCAGGAGCATGCACACATAAAGGAGAAAACTCTTTTGGACCATTATTCCCTTTATGTGGGACTGTGTTATGTTTTTTATGGCTTTTGCTGACCCTGAAATACTGAGACGTTTTCATTCTTTCCCTCTACCATTAAAAAAAGAACTTTCCTCTCCCTCCTGAATACTTGAGCTGATGAGCTACATCAAAGCGACTAGTCCCGGTCTCACCACCTCCCCACTTCGGCATTTGCAGCCCTCCCAGATGCTGCGGGACTCACTCCAGACAGACTGATCAGAAGAACCAGCCTAGAGGCCAGGCGTGGCATCTTTTTGAAGGCAAAGTCAGGCTGGAAATGTCCTGACAGGGCAACAATTTCAGCCGCAAGGGTTTAAACCTATTTTATCTTTCATGTTGGATGGCTCGATTTTTAGGATGCCAACTAACTTCAACCTAGTTCTTAACCTATGGAATACATTTTGGAATGTGCAGAAAGGGAAAAATCCAGAAAAATCTAAGAGCACATCACCACTTCTCACCTTATATGTTACCCTGGCCAGCACTACCTCGCAGGAAAGAAAAGATGTGTATATATTTTTTATTTTTTTCTGTGTGTGTGTGTGTGTGTGTGAATTTTACTTTCCATTTCTCCTTTCTCCTATAACATGAAAGTTGTATGAAAGAACCAAGTTTTAAAAACCACTACATTTACTAGATTCTGTGTGCATGATGTTCAATTTTCTGAATAAGGTGCAAAAGCAGAGGGCAGTTCAAGGTCCTGCTGAGGTTCAAAGTTACTGTCTCTTGATTCCAAGGCAGCCATGGGGCTTTCCTCCCTTTTTACTATAAGCTCCACTGTGCAAAAATGTGCATTATCTTTGGTATTTATTTTAGGTAGTCTAAGTTAAAATTTTAGATAACCCATTAACATCATGGAGGAAAAGAAAAATAAATCCCAACCCAGAGGCTACCATTTGGCTAGTGTTACATAATGCCCTTATGTAACCAGGGAGAGAGAAAGAGAGGGGGGCGGGGAGGGACGGAGAGAGAGAAATCAATTCTAGCAAACAAATTACTGGCCTCAAAAAATCAGGCTCTCATTTTGGCAGCTAATAGCCAAATACTTGCCACTTTGAAGTGCATATCATGAGCTTTCAACAAAGTTCAACACTGACTTTTAAATTACACAGAGAAAAACTACACTACAACAAAAATATCATTTGTGTTCATGTAGTTAGCAGCTTTTCAAAAATTAAGGCAGAGTCTTGCCTTTGTTATGCCATTAAAAACATTCTTGTTCCCTAAAGAGAAGCATTCTGGATAAGTCAAATACCCAACCAAGGCTTGCCTGCAAGTTCAAGTTTTGTAAAAAACACAAAACAAAACATAAAAACCCCATAACTTATTCTACAACACGTATGTGCCATCGGGTCCCGGGGAGGCATGTTTAGTGCTTTATGTTCATCTTCGAGCTTACAGTCTTTCTTGGAAGCCATTGTGCTAGCCTCAGTCCCTTGTGGCCACTTGCCTTGACCGACCTCTTCACCAGTACCGTCGTCTGAATAACTGTTTTGGGCCTTTGACCAACAGACTGTTTTAAAGTAAATATTCCAGAGAAGGAATGAGTCAGTCATATCTCCGATTCTCGCCGTAAGGGCCTGGGCTCTAGAGGTACACTTGCCTGGTTGTGAAGATCCAGGCCAGGGGGTGTGTCCGTACTAGTGCTTTCTGGCACTCCATTTTCACTGTCATCTTCCTCTCTGCTGGTGAGGGCAACTTCATTTTCATAGCAAAATGAGTTTGCATTCGAGAGGATGTATTTCTTTTCTGCTAAGTCTCTGGCACTACAAATGGGTGTGTTGGGGACTTCGTAAGTCTTGTGGAACCTTGAATAGTCCACCTTATAGTAGTGCTTCTCTTCAAAGAGTACAGGCTCATAGCGGTGGCCCCAGAGAATTTCATTTGCCAGATAGGAGCTGCGGCACTGCGTTGTCATGGCAGTAGCTTCCACCATGCCTTCCAGTATCACCACGATTTCAAAGTCTGCATTGTCAATGTCTTGTTTACTCAGATCGTATAAAGGACTGTCTTCATCTATCTCGTGGACGATCGTGATCGGGGACACCAGAAATATACGGTCGATTCCACTGTCAAAGCCGACATTGATGTCTATTTGATCCAGGGGGATGTATTCCCCTTCGGATGTGATTCTGGATTTGAGGAGCTGTGCTCGGACGTGAGCCTCCACCAAGTGGCTTTTCCGCAGGTTGCCCACGCGCCACATCAGACACAGCTTGCCATCTCTCATGGCGATCACAGCGTTGTGACTGAAGACAAGCGTCTCATTCCTCTTCTTCGGCTTTGCCATCTTGGCCATGACCGCCCCGATGATGAAGGCGTCGATGATGCAGCCCACGATCGACTGGAACACCACCATGAAGACGGCGACGGGGCATTCGTCCGTGACGCACCTGAAGCCGTAGCCTATGGTGGTCTGGGTCTCAATGGAGAAGAGGAAGGCGGCCGTGAAACTGCTGACCTCAGACACACAAGCTTTGCTCTCTTTCGAGGCATCCAGATCCCCGTGGAGCAGAGCTATCAACCAAAACACGCAGCCAAAAAACAGCCACGAGAGCACGAAGGCCAGGCAGAAGATGACCAGCATCCACCTCCAACGGATGTCCACACACGTGGTGAAGATGTCTGCGAGGTACCGTTGTCCCTTCTCACCCACGTTGATGAACTGAACATTACAGTGGCCGTCTTTCTTCACGAAGCGGCTCCTGCACTGCTGTCGAGTGTGGACTTTACTCTTACCGTTCCCAAAGCCATTGGCAACCGCCATGGTGGCTAACTTCATGCCGTCCTCTTCCGAAGAGACGATGCTATAGCGGTTGGTCCGCACACTGCCCATCGCTTCTGCTGTGGACTCCAGTGCTTCTGCTTTGGAAAACAGTCTGAGTTTTTGCAAAACCCTTTGGAGAAACAGTTTTGAATGTTCAGTGAGGACACACACAAAAAAAAATAATAATAACGAGAGATGTGGTCTCCGGGAGCCTTAAGGTTCTATCACAGTCCGTCTACTGACATGCAGAGTCACCTTAGTAACTCAGCTTGCCATCCAGAGAACACGTCCTGCAGAAAAAGAGACATCCTTCATTATGAAAGAAGTCATTATTAAAGGGTTCTACTTTCTAAGGCAACATTTCCTTGCAAGACACTGAGTCAGATATACATAAATATACTCTGCATTTAATTATAGGGTTTTTAATTTCTTTGTACCCTAAAAACATTTTTTATTTTATTTAAATGCATATAGTCATTAAACATAGACGAGTTAATTGTGACAGTCTTGGAACCAAAATTTTAGGCCCTTCCCACCCCCCCTTTTTTTTTTGCCAGCAATCTAGGAACTTCTACATCACAGACCTAGTCTCTCTTCTACTGTTTACTTTTACCTTCTCTACCTGCTAGGGTCCCAAGTTAATAAGCAAAAGAAAGATTTTCAAAATCCAAGACTTGTCACAAAGCTTCAAGAACTCAAGAATGTTCTAGAGAACATTTCATATGAATGCAGAGCATTAACATTGAGCTGCAGGTGCATTATGGGACAATAACAGAGCCCTTGATGACTAGGTTGAAATCAGAAGGCACAGACTACTTTGTCTAAATGCTAAAACTGAGTAGGACAGCCTTTCTAATCATCAGAAATGAATCCCAGTTTCTGGAGACTGGGCTTGCTCTATCACTTCACACACTTTAAGCAGCCACTGTGTAGAAATACCTAATAACATCTCTGTACGTGCAAGTGATTCTGACACGAAGGCACAGGTTTGCTCTGGGGATAGAGAGCGACTCTGTTGCTTAGCAATCGGAGTTCTGAAATTCTCTGCAGATGGGACTGCCATGTGTAATGACAGCCGAGGAAGTAAGAACCTTTGTGCCAAAGGACGAGGTCTTTAGCGGATTAAGATAAGGCAGGAACTCATTTCATGTGGGTCCAATTCTGTGTTTTCCCAAACAGAGACAACTTTGTCAGAGTAAATCATAAACGTCCGTCAGCTTAGTTTCATTTCCAGTGCTGTTGTTTGCTATGTTCCTATGGAGAAGGCGCTCACCTGTACTTAAGTTGAACAAATAGGAGTTTCCCATTTTCGCTTCTTGCCTCATCCTTCCCCAGGTAAAGGCTACCTATTTAACTTTCAATCTTTGCTCCAAATAAACCTTTTTTGTTTTGTTACTTGACTAACTAGCAAAAGCCTAAGGTAAGTCTCCGGTGTATCCTTTACTGTATATAAATTAACAAAAACTAACATAGCATAGAACTAAAAAGTAACAGTGATTCTCCACTTTGAAAACAACTGCCATCTATCTCCTGTAGTAAAGGGGGACAACAAAAAACAGATGGAGAGGATCAGAAATCTGTTGAAGCCCTGAGAAAATGACTCTACTTTTTTCTTTCTCCCCCCAAATTACATTAAGACTAAGCAGTGAACAGAACCAATTCCAGCCAAGCCAACTGCAAACAAATAAAGCAAATCATTTATCTTACTGTTGTGCACCCCTTTAAAGAGGCACGGTGCATTGTCTTTGAAAATGCCTTGTTACAGTCTTCTCACTTATCCCTCTTTATCCAAGTTATTATGCAAGAATGTGCCCCAACACATTTTTCCTGAGATTAGTCATCTGTGAAAATTGCAATGTGTGTTACATTTTGGCAGCGTTTGACACCTAAATGATGCCCGATTTAAAAGTGCCTTTGAATTACTTTATAAAAAGAAGTTACTGTGCCTTCCCAGCCTTCCACCTGCTTCAATGTTTTGTCTGCTTCCCTGTGAAGTTTGTACTTGGACAAAAGAAACAAGACTCATATTCCTCAGAGTTCTAGATCCTGGACACGGAAATAATTTTTTCTAACAGTGATTTCAGCTTATTGGGCTCATATGAAATTGCCAGGCATTTTCTACACAAAAACAGAAAGAGGTAGTAACAGAATACCAAATGCAGGTGTACTTTGCGAAAAAGGGTGGGGGGGCCTCATTTAAATTGTGCTTGTATCCTTGAGCTCTGATTGACTTCAGAATCTTTTATTATAAACTGACACCAAGAAATTCCCTTTTCATGATTCAAAACAATCCCTTCATCTGTGTTACCATTAGGAACCATGGACAGTCTCAAATTTCTTCTGACTTATTTCTACACTCTTTCCAGATTAAAGCATAATAACCATATGAAATCTAAAGACTGAATTATGACTTTCCAAAAATCCTAACCCCAGGATGCTAGTTTGAATTCCACATAACATACAATACCAGCTTCCTACAAATAGCTTTCTGCATTTAGAACCTTGAAAATAGCCTGTTTTGAGTGACTATTATTGTCTTATTTCCATAGTTAATGAGAGAATTTGGTCCACGTGCAGAGCATCATTTAGAATTTTACAATTTCTACCTGGAAAGGGGGAAAAAAGATGATTTTGGCTAATGGAAACTTTTGTCACTTCAAATAGATATTTTTTCAAGAGATGTAGGTGTGTGTATGTGTATATACACATTATGTGCATTCAGACTACTGGGGAGCTGATTACATAGCAAAAATCTAGAACCTGACAGTTTGATAGGATAATTGTCTTAACATTTCACTGTGAAGAATGCCATTCCTGTTGACCTGCCCAGACGTCTGAATGGCTTTAGGCAAGCAGAATACTACTTGTCTACTCTTCTCTCACTGAAAATCACTAATTCATGAGCATCTGGGAAAAAGTTTCACTGGGAACAGGGCTTTCATACAACTTTATTTTAGGCATAGATTCAAAATAATTCTTTGAGGAACATGAGATGAAGAGTACATGAGAATACTAAAGTGATTGGACTCCTTAAAGGGTACAATTCAGGAGATCTGATATTTGATTGATGAACAATGTGTAAATTCCCCTTTCAGCCAAAATATTTAAGGGACTGATGTAAATTTAAGAGACAAAATAATCATTTTACCCAGGCTAAAACCAATGAGGTAGAAAGTATTTCTGGGAAATTGAGAGGCTACATGTGGTGCTGTTCATGTTAAGACTATTTATAGGCTGAGCCAAAATTAAGCATAAGCAATGGAAAAAAATAGTTCAGTGTTTCAGTCTTAGGTAGATGTTAAAGGAGAGAGAGCTATGGATTATTACAAGGTCAAGGAGATAACATGGCAAAAAAAATCAGTGAACCTAACTCATTTTTACCATATAGGAAACATTTCCAATAGAGATTATAAAAACACCAGAAAAATGTCATTATGAAGAATCCAGGAGAGTAAATGTGTCCCATAATATGGTCATGGTGTGCAGTGAATATTTCTAACTAAGGATTGGAAATAAGGATAGTGAAAGTGTGCTGGGCTGACAGAGCAGTCTGCTAATGAGTGTTTGGAGCAGCTATTCCCCAGCTGACGCCATATAGACCAGCCTGAGTGTGCTCTGGGCACATGTTGCTATGTGAGCACAAATGCTAGCAAAGCCATCTCTCAGAAGCTCAGTAAACAGAAGGGAGGGGGAAGGGAAGGAGAGCTGGGGTGGGATGCCCATTTAGCTCTGTGAGCACTGTAACATGTATACTCAACAGTGCTTGCAATGTCACTCAGCATTTGCAAATGCTGCAGAATATACACATTTGGTAAACAAAGATGCACATACACACAAGCTTTGAACAGTCAATCTGTTTAGGTAAAGATGCGGTCAATCTTCCACGCTACTCAAAAGTCATCCAAGGACTCTACAGTTAACCAGATCTTCTACAGCTGGAGGGTCTCAGGGAAGTAGAAATACGGTGTATTCTTTTTTTAAAAAGGCCAAATTCACAAGAGGTTAGAATAAATATTCCCATGGATACCACTAACATAAAAGCGCCACTAAAACATGAAGGGGAGGGGCTGAAAGCAAGTGAAATGACCTTGACTTCAACTCTCACCCCTCCCGCCATACTTGAAGTGACCTCTCTTTCTCCTGAGCAAGAAGATTTTTCTGGATAATGGCAAAATATAAACAAAGTATCTGGCGTGAGGGTTTAAGTGAGCAGGAAAAAACTAGGCAGTGTACAGGTACTATAAAGCAGACAGAACAGTGGTGAGAAGAAATCTGACAGCCTAGCTACTACTAATGCAAAAAGAAAATAAGCAATAAAAGGCAATATGCAGTTTTGCATACCCAAAACACGTTTTCAAATAATGCCTTATTTCCTAGAAGGTAAATTCTGAGTTTATGAAAATCGCCGGGATTCACAGCAGTATCCTAGTTACCACGCTACTGAAAGGCTTACCCAGACAGACATTCAACTGTCCGTTTCCTATCTTTACTTTTTTTTTTGTCATGACGAGTCCATCTTATGATGCAATCTTTTTGCAGAATCAAGTCATTTTGACCGCTGTGCTTCCCTGAAACCATGCTGTCTTGAGCTTAGGTATTAATACAACTATTACTGAGAATAACAAGTTGCTAAGGGTAGAGTGACATAGGATGTGAAAGTTTTGCGGTCTTCCGCTTAAATCCGACTCGGGCTCGCGCTCTGTTCCCCAGCAAAGCAACTTTGAGACGCTCGCTCTGTTTGGAATTTGACCCTACTCTCGAAGCAATGACAAAGGGAAAAGAGAGAGAGAGACGCCAAGGATCAAGACTAGTGCTGAGTCCCAAGGTCTGCCAAGGCTGAGACCAGCGCTCTGGACACCCACTTCTGCCCACCCCACCCCACCCCGGTCTTTTCCCTTGGAGCCAGAATGGAACACAAGCTCCCTCGCCCTTGTCTCTAAACTCAGTATCTCGCTACAGCTGGTGCATTGGAAGTTATGAGCACAAACAGATGCTGCAGAAAAATCTGTTCCTATTGCTCAACTGTTCCAAGCATGTCTCAGTATTTTTAGCTCTGGGGATGTTCTGGTGCTCACACAAACTCTATAGGCATGATCTGGGACTCCGGAGCGTGGGTGAGTGCTCCAGCACCGTGACAGCTGGGCACCGCTGGAAGAGCGGGGCAGGGCAGAGTCGGGGATGGCAGCCCGAGTCCACTCCCCAGGACACACAGGCAGCGAGAGAGGAGGCAAGAAAACACACAGCAGCCCTTACCTGTTGCTGGCGCAGCAGCATGGGGACATGGAGTGGAAGTGGGGGCTACAGAGGCATGTAAAATCCAGCAGTTTGTGAAAGCCAGTGAGCCAAAACAAACCAGAATTCCCAAGACCCAGCTTGCCGGCGCCGGGGAAAGCTGCGCGCTGGCCAAGGCTCCAGTGCGCTCTGCAATATCCTGGGCTCTTTTTAGATCCTGGGCTCGAGATTACCGGCCCGCCTGGCTCCGCCCCGGGCCACCCCCGGCCAATCGCAGTGCGCCTGGCCGTGCGGCCAGCCCCGAGCCCCGCGGCGGGGAGGGGAGGATGCTACACCCGCCGCCCAGCGCGTTGCGCCGCCGGCGGGGAGAACCTGCCGCCGCCGCCGCCTCCCCCCTCCGCCCTGCGAGCGGGCGGCGGAGCCAGGCCGGGGCTGGGGAGGAGGAATTTGCGCCCCAGCTGGGACGGCAGCAGGTGGGAAGCTCCGCGGCCGGCCGCGCTTTTGCGGCTGCCTAATTGCAGCCTGGCCTTGGGCAGAGCTTCCTACACCTCTCCGAGCCCCACACTTCCCCTTTCCTGTCCTCGGCGCGGGCCGTGCTGCGTGCTCCTCCAGGGCCCCGCGAGGTGCCAGTGCCCGGGCGAAACGTTTGCAGCCGGGGAGGATTGCTTTTCAGCCCGGGCGCCTCTCCCTGTCTCCTCTCTCCTACCAGAGCCCCACGCCCCCCGAGTCCCCCGCAGCACTTTCGGTGAGCGGAGAAGCAGCGAAGTAAATGGGAGAAGGAACCGGGACCGACGCACGGAACCCAGCTGGACTCAGACGCTCCCAAATGTTGCAACTGCATAGCCGCTTGGCTCTTGCTTTTCCCGACTGTTGATGAACTACTTACAAAGAGCCTAGACTTCTCTGCAGAGTGAACGACTCGTTCCCTCTAGCATTGTCCGCCCTCAATCTCTTTCTCCACCACCGCCGGGCACGCTCTGCTGATCTAAAATCAGAGCAATTTATAGAGGGTAATGAATTCTCGGGAACAGCAACTCCTACAGACACCCAGCTCTGCCTTTCACGTCAGCGCCTCCCAGTCCTCATTCCCAGCAACCAGGCTAGAGCGTGTAGGACCCTTTAAAAACCTACATTAACTTCAGTGTTAACCGGGTCTGGATCCTGGAACTTTGCAGATGATCCCATGAGTGTGTGAGTGAGAGTGTGTGCAAATTAAGAGTAAATGCATGTATCTCGGAGTATTCTGGTGTCATAACGAAGCTTTGCTCTTAAAGGAAGCAATGTATTTCGCAGTCTTTGCACGGCGTTTGCAATCCGTGTGTGTGTGTGTGTGTGTGTGCGTGTGTGTGTGTGTGGGTTGGCTGTTTATTTCCTCAGGCGATCCAATGCGCCTCTCCTGCAGTTTATTTACATCTCTAAAAGGCCTCCTAGAGTCGCCAAACGACTTCAAAAATCTAGCTCGTATTCCGGGCGGCACAGCCCGGGTGGATTTGTGTGTGCGGGAGAGGCGGAATTGACCATCAAGGAAAGGGTCTGCGCCGGGTATCCACCTCCTAGCCTCATATCCGCACATGGCCCCTAGGAGGTGCTGGTGAAGTGTGCTTAGGTTTTAGATGCGCACTTAATCCAGCGTTAGCCAAGTGTGCCTTGTTTCCCAACGCTGAGCAAGATAACTGAAATTAAAAGGGTGTGGAATAGGTCGTGCATGCGGTGTGACTGCTCTGATAGCCAAACGCATTGCCGTCCCGTTGCTTTTACACAGCACTCCAAGCCCTGCTACGAAGTGTCTCCCCTTTGAAAGCCTTGTACGCGAGGATAATGCCTCACACAGGGGATCTCCTATAACATTGATTAGATCATGTTTTATTTATAAACAGCCTGACTTAACTCGGCAAAATGGATGGATGTACAGGAACCTAGGCTGTAGCCTGAAGCGAAGCGAACCTGTCGATAGCAAGCTGACTCTAGATATCGAAAGGATAGAGAATGAGTACCCGCTGGCTGCCCTGCAAAGGGCTTCCTCCGAAATGTGTTTCCTCAAGGATTATTCCTAAGAAACAGACCAGTGAAGTCTAATTAATCCCTTCAAACATATGAAGCCTAGATGGAAAGAGGAAAAGAATCACTTCTATGTGATCTTTTTATTATCATGATTCAATCTGTGCAGCTGTACATGGCAAAGCATTTTCCAAACCACGTGAATTCAGAGGCAACACTTTTATTTCCCAGTAAAAGCTTCTTTTAAAAATCGGCCGCCCAGAAAGAGGTGCCGTTTCTCTGGAACGGGAACTGAAATTGTTTTGCTTTAATATTACACTCTAAATAAACTGAATGCACACAGGCCACGAGAACTTCATATCATGGGAAAATCTTTAAAGAAATGGACACAGTGTTATAAGATTACAGTTTGTTGCCTATGCTTAGTTGTGGGGAGGGGCAAACAAATTGATGTATCCTCGTCTTTCTCCTCAAATCGCTCTCAACCCCATGGACTGATATGCCGTTAAGACATTTCTTGAAGTGGAAAGCTATAGAAAAGTGCATTATTTTAATAAACATCTTCCCAGTCTGAATAGATTTGTTTAGCTAAATATGTACCTAATATCTAGCTAAATACTTATTTAATTATCTAGTGAAATAAGGAAACGAAGGGTTAAATTTTGTAACAAAACTTTGAAAATGCATGATAGCATTGATTAACTCCATTGCTTCATCTAATAAAGGAAAAAATGTAAATATGTATTTTAATCAATGAGTGACTTTTCACCGTGTCCCTATTAGGAAAATTTTAGTATTCTAAGGCATTCAGTGCTTGAGTAAATACATTTTTTTGAAGCAATGCGTGATTTCTCTAGTCAGAATATCTTTTTTGGCTAAATCAGTCCTTATTTAGAAAAAACTCCCCATTAGTTTTGGACACCAGTGCTGTTGGGTGTTGGGATCCATCTGTGTATTAAATTTTTCCAAGGAAATGACAATCACCTCTTACTGAGTCCCTCCACAGTAACCACCTATAATATCAGAGCCAAATATTAGTCACAATCTAGATCTGCAGTCAGATTATGAATGGATGTGTCACACAGAGGGTAATTGTTCCATTAGGAACACAAATCTTTCCTTTGCATTTATATAAAGATCTCCAGAAACTAGATATATTTTCAGACTTCCTTTCACCATATATGCAGTCCAATTTTACAGTGATAAGCAATGAAAAACTCATTTGCATCTATTAGGTGTTAAGAACCACTTGCTAATCTGCACAGTAACAATTTATAGTAATACATAATAATTAAATGCCAGATTGACTTGAAATGTAAACAGGACAACTAGCAACCGCTGCAATAGGACAAGCCATCTACTGCAGTATTTTAAGGCATTGGGTGTAATCTAATCTATTGGAAAACAGTTTTGCCAATTTCACCTGCTGCACTGGTAAGATTTAACCTTCATATTAAATTCAATAAATGTTTTTGTTGAGTAGCTACTTTGTACTTTAGCTTTATGGTAGATGATATGGGAGACATAAGAGCCCCAGGTGAAACAGATCCTTTAGTCTAAGAATTCACAATCTCTAATGAAGAAGAAAAATGATAAACAAGTAAAATCAAATGACTAAGTGACACTAAAAGCAGCCTATGATTAAGGGTTTAAATGGGTTGTCACCCCCCCCACCCCAAATCTGGAGAGTTTCTGAGGAGTGGTATGATATGGAGCAGAATTTATGGGGAAGTCTTTAGAATGGAATTTAATGTGTATGACATATTACCATGCACGGTTGTGTTAATGCTGAGAACATCCTAGAAGACAGAATTGCTTCCTCATTCAGTTCATGTCCAAAATTGTCTGCTATGCCCCCAGGTCTGTCTATATACATGTAATCACATATAAATGACAAGCCACTCCTAAGAACGGCATGGTCTTGCTGCATGCCGCTCCCCGCATAAACCCTATTTACTGTTCCCTCTAAAGCAATGAGATTTATTCCACAATATTTGCCATTTGTCACCACTTTAACAACAGTGATGATACCTTACGTATCTGGCCTACTTGGAATGCAGCATATTATGTAAAGGCTTTTCTAAATGATTGTAGTTTGCTTGGGTGGGAAGGATTTTCTCTGCTATATTATATGGATCCTCAAACTCTCCGACTGTCCCTGTAACACTCTGTACATATTTCTAATATAGCATATTTTGTGCCTCTCCTGCTATGACAAATATTTTCCCCCATACCTGTTTCCACCTACCAGTGGTGAGCTTTACAAAACCCACTGCCATTTCTTGTAGATTTTCCTACCCTCATAGCCTTGCATATGGCTGAGTAAATCAGTCTCAACAAATGTCAGTTGAAGGGTGAAATCAATGCAAGTAACAATATTTTTTAGTATCATATGACTTTTGAATGATGACTCAATATTATTGTAATAAACATAAAGCTATCAGGGCCTACTGGGGTACAGTAAGAGCAATGTCCTCTACATTAAATGACCCTAGATGAAGCTTATTTAAGTTTTCTGCTTGTTTTTCCTTCTCCATCCATGACAGCCTTCACTTCTCATTTTTGCTTCTGCGAATGTGCCTTGAAATTATCAGGCTGTCACCATGCTTTGTCTAATTTGTTGATTCTAATCTGCACTGGGCTGAGAAATTATGTAACATAGGATGTTTAAAAGTGTATGCAAAGTGAAAGCAAATAGGGCCTAAAGGGCTTAAAATGGATGTATGTTTTTGAAATAGTATGAGTGAATGCTAAATTTGGAGTTAACCCTGTTTTGGTAAGTTTCCTTTTGGAGTAAAAAGGTTTAAGATATGGATTTCTGACATCTGTTTTAGCTTCTCAGAGCACTTACATACTTTAGTCCTGTGTTTGCTATACTACAAATAGTTGAGGAAGACCTCTGGATAAGTGAGGTACCTGTGCATTTGTATAAGTGGATGAATGACAAAATCACACACTCATGGACTGAAAAATAATTTGAGTGCTTTCTGTGTTCATTAATACGATCTGTATTTTCCAACAAATATGTGAAAACCAGCAACAATAAGTGGAACTGTCCTTTAAGAAGCTCACACTTCCAGAAAAGCCAGGTTACTATTTAGTAAATGACTCTTCTGTCATGCTCTGCAAGACTTCATTTATCTCACTGGGTGAAACAATTACACTGTAAAATAACCGTATTCCCCTAGGGCCAGACCCTGCATTACTA